GGTCAGCCCTTTGCGTGCACCTGGCATGGCATAACGGGCCGGGATGCAGCCAGGTCCTGGCTGCTGCAGTGGCTCAAAGCCCTTGCTCAGGTGGGGCGCCTCTCCTCTGAGGAGCCCGACTTTCTATTCTTGCATGCGACTTTGCACATGGACAGCCTTGACGAGCTCGCGCCGGCAAGCTACTCGCATAGCTTGCTCAACCTCCGGCACTGCGCGCAGTCCGCAGAGGTATCTGGCACCTCCTCTCTGCGCCACGCGGAGGCTCACAGCCTCACAGCAGGAAAAGCACGTTGCTCGCAGCCAGCGCGCAGCTGGACCACAGTAAAAAGGACAGGTTGGCCCAGGGTCACCGTCGGGACAGCGCCCGACTCTTCTCCCGCAACGACACCCTAGCCTCTCTGCGCATACAACGCAAGCTCGCGTGCAGCCTCGCAGCTGGCTGGCGGCTCTCACGAGGGCGCGGTGCCCGAACAGCAAGCTGACCCAGTCCCGGAGCTCTTTGTCACATCTGGTGCGTGGAACACCCCGCTTCGAGACTGTGAAGAAGCCTTCATGGCGGCACTGGAGCCGGGCGCTCTGCCGCCCCGCCCCGAAGCCTGCTGCGGTGTCAAGCTGGGCATGTTCGCCACTTTTGTACAGACAGATTCCCCTGAATCAGTATGCATGGGCAGAGCCTGCGTCAATGCGCGCGAAGCTTGCAACGGCACCCTAGCATAAAATCCTGCAATGCCTCTTAGCCCATACCCGAACCACTCCTGCTGCCCAGGTCCTCGGCCTCGACTTCGTGGTGCGCCCGTGGGTATCTGCGTTGCCCTGCCTGCGTGCTTGACACTGGAAAGCTCTAGACAGCCGGCTCACGCAGCTTGTTCTTTGGCTCCTGCGTCCAGACGAGAGAGGTTTGCACTTTCGCAGAAGCAACGACTACATAACAGCAACTCACACAAGAGCTTCTTCAGTGGTAGGCAGCATGGCCAAGGATGTGGATTCCCTCGCAGGCCTTCAGCAGCTCTTTGAAGAGCTCCAAGTCCCGGAGTGTTTTGTCGAGGCCCTCCAGGCTTCCGGCATCGCATGCCTTGCAGACTTTGCATACGCTTACGCGACCGCAGCAGACCTGGCAGTTTTTGCTGAGGCCAGGTCAGACGAGTTTTGGCAAGCCCTGCAGGTACAGGATCCGGAGCACAGCATGCACATGGCGCGCATGCACCGCGCACTTACTCGCGCCCAGGCTTTCGTGAGAGTCCAGGACGAGCTGCCAGCATACGCGCAGCACGCCCCCCCTGCATGTGCCTTACCCTGACCCCAGCCAGCAAGCAGTGCACGCCAATGTCTGGGCAGAGCACGCGCCGCCCAGGCTCGACGCAAGCACAGTCACGCACCTGCAAGCAAGCTTCCGTAGCAATTATCCAGGAGAACACCTGGATTCCGACTGCATGCCAAGCATACGCTTGCTCTCGCTCGTGCACATGTGGTTTAAGCCCGGCGGAACCATAAAATGGGTTCCCTGGCAAAAGCGACTCTCCAGCAAGCAATACCAGGATATAATAGAGGCCCGCACGTCACGCACGCTCCGCACCGAAGCCCAGCTCATAAGCACAGCCCTGTTCGACGAGACGCCGGAGCTCCCTGTCGAGCACATTTGCCTCAACGCCCCCTGGCTGGCGAGCAAGCAAGCGGTGTTTCGCAACGCCATCGCGCTTTGCAGTGGCGCGCACCTCTCCGTCCTGAAGGCTTTCGACAAGAAGGCCCTAGACCTTTGCACGCAGAGCCTGCCCGCCTCCTCTGGGCTGCGCGCTGCAAACACCCAGGAGCTTTTGCAAGCAGACCGCACGCTTTGGAACGAGATAGCTAAGCTGGTCGCCGAAGGCTGGACACTGGACGAGGCCCTGCATGAGTTCACATGCATCCGCGCTGACGTGCGCTTGCTTCAGCCACGTGCCCCCTCTGCAGCCAAGGCGCCTCTCCCGCGCCTCTTCCTTGACCTGTTCGCAGGCATCCACGCCCCGCTCACCGCGGCAGTGGACGCCCTCGGCCTAGATACCTTCGAGCCTTTCGACCTCGATGCTAACGCTAGTCATGATGTGGGACAACGCCATGTTCCACCTTTTGCTCCGCGTAGCTTTCAGTGGCATAGTAGGCGTGGCCTGGTCTGCGCAGCCCTGCAAGCACTACAGCGTGCTCAAGCTCCGCAGGCCCGGACCGAAAGCCCTTCGCACGCTCGAGCATATGGACGGAGTCCCTGGACTCCCCCCGGCAGGTGGACGAAAGCAAGGCTCATGCGCGGGCCCGCCAGCTCCTGCGTGCCGTGCGTGAAGCAGCCGGGCGCACTGGAATGGAGCAGCCTCCCTCGGCAATGAGCTGGCTTGAGGAAGACAACCTTGCTTCCTTCACGAAATAGCGGCCGCCCGCGTGCGCCTTCGGCCTCGACATGCACAAAACCTGGGCTTTCTGCGGCTCCATGCCAGCCCTCAAGACCCTGGCGGGCGTCTGCAAGCACCCTCGCGGGACGCGCCAGTAGGAACTAAGGACTCGCAAGGTTCGTGGCTGAGCACCCTCTCCGCAGAGTACCCTCCAGCTTTGGCCGCAGCCGTGGCCTGCGTCTTCAGCCCCTACCTCAGCTCCACAGGCAGGCGCAAATTCAGCATTGCCGACTTTGCTAACCTGCTGCGCAGCCACAAATGCACCGCCGCCCGCCTGCTTGCGACGGAGCCGGCCTGCACAGTTCGGCCGACCACTCCAACGCACAAACCACCAGCCAGCTGGCACGCGTCGCGTGTCATCAAGCATTTGCATGAAGGGATCGACTCCCACCCCCTCGCAGACGTGCATCAGCAAGCCCTCGCGGACATGGCTCACGCCATTCTGCATCCCAACTGCTCTAAATCTTCCTGCGTGCAAATTTCCCCAAGCCAGCCCTTTCGCCTCGAGCTTCTGCATGCATTTGCCTCTTGCACGCAAGACCCAGATGTGGGCCTCCCCGCGCTACTCAAGGAGGGGGTTCTTACGGGCATCTTCGAGCCCATTCCGTCCAGCATGCAGTGGCCCCAGCGCCAGCCTCACCTGCAGGAAGATGATCTGCGTGACATGCACCTCTTGCACTGCGCCGGCAACTGGACGCGTGCTGAAAAAGACCCCCAGCTGCTGGACGAGCTCATAAGCAAAGAAATCAGCAACGGTTGGGTGCAGGAATTCCACGGCTCCCTCAAGGACGCCCAAAAGGCCTGGCCTGCACGCGCTGCCGTGGGCAAGCTTAATGTCGTGCAAGCTGAGGGCAAAGAGGCACGCCTGGTCTTGGACAGCATGATCTGCAATGCCAATCCCCTGTGTTTCGTGCCTGAGCATGTTCGCTTGCCCACCAGCATGGATGTCGCGCGCACGTTTGAGCATGATGATCCTTACGGCCAATTCGTTGGACTGTCTTTGGACTTTAAAGCTGCGCATAAATGCTTGAAAGTCCGGCAAGACGAGCAAGGATGCTTGCTGTTCCAGCACGCTGGCAAGCTGCTAAACTTGTAATTTCCACGGCGTTCCATCCTCATACATATGATTTTCCACACGTCTCACGTGGCAAGTTACCAGATCTTGGATTGAAT